ATTTTTACAAATCAGTAAGAATTGATAAATTAGAATTTAACAATGTTTATGAGCTTAGATCTAACTATATTTTTACAACAGTAATAGGTATGTACAATTAAGATTTAATTAAGAACTAATAAATGGGAAAATAATAATACAATAGACAATTAACATAGGAGGTCATGTGGACGTCCACGCTTGAGACGGCGTATTGGAGGAGGGACACTTAGGTTGTAGTATTTAGCGCTGCTAGCAGACTGTAAGTGGTTGAAGAAGTTGATTGTTAGTTTCTTTATATAATCAGTTATAGACGGTAGTTGGAAGTCTGTGTGCAGTGCAGCATTACGTATGAACCATGGGGCGTTAGATATTGTCCTGAGGACTTTAGATTGAAATATTTGTATCTTGTGTATATGGGTCTTAGCACAATTTCCCCACACAGGGACTGCATATAAAAGTAGTGGTCGTAAAATTTGTTTGTATAGCAAAATGGAACATTTCCAGCTTAGCGATGATTGTCGGTTTAACAATGGATAAAGTATCTTTAGTCTCTGATAGCCTTGTTGAAGTTTAGAGGTGATGTGTGGGTTCCAAGTTAGTTTCCTGTCTAATATTACGCCAAGATATTTTATGCTAGGTGACCAGGGAATGTTATTGCCGTACAGTTTTAAATTTCCGGGAGTTTTGGGGCGACGATTAGTGAAAAGGACTGCTGTGCTTTTTTGAGGGTTCAGTTTTATTTTCCATTTATCTCCCCATTTTTGGATGTCATTCAGGTGGTCTTGGATATTTTTTGTCACTGTTTCAACGTCTGTAGAGCTTGAATATATTGCGCTGTCGTCGGCATAAAGTGCTATTTCCGTATTAATCGATGTAGGAAAGTCCGAAACATATAGGTTAAAAAGTAACGGAGAAATTTTTGAACCTTGAGGTACACCTGCATTTATAATTTTTATTTGTGAAGTAGTATCGTTAATTTTGACTTTAAAACAACGAGCAGTGAGGTAGGATTTAATTAGATTGTAAATAGCATTTGGGGTGTTTAACATTTTTAGTTTATATAAGAGTCCGTCATGCCAGACCCGATCAAAAGCTTGGGCTACATCTAAAAAGGCTGCACCTGTATGTTGTTTTTTTTAGTAACCATCGCTTATATGTTCTGTTAGACGTAGGAGTTGTTGGGTAGTTGAATGATTTGATTTGAATCCGAATTGGAAATGCGGAATAGCATTTATTGCATTTAAATAATTGGTGAGCCTGGAAGATGCACAATATAGTCACCGAATTTTAATAAACCATGAGCATAGACATATTTAAAAAACAAACAAAATATATTCAAATTTTTATAAATTCAATATATAGAATTTAATATGTGACTCAATTTAAAATGAACATACATAGATAAAATATACGTACAATATAAAATTATATTGTAGTTCAAATTGTATGAAACGTTCAATTTTGATACCTTAGAATTGGTTTATTGGAGAATTTGCATACACAATTTTCGTATTCATTTGAAATTTTAACGTATCTATATTATTATATTTGTTATACATAAAGAATATTTTCAAAACATTCAGATTAATATGAAGCTATGGTCTGTTTATACCACAAACCGAATAGGTGAATTTATCTCAAAAATTGATAACGATAAAAAATATGTAAATATGACTACAATAATTATCAAATACTTATAAAATAATTAACTCAATATTTTCTGAAAACGTTAAAAGCAGCACAGTATCATAATGGGCACTATTGTAATAATCGTAAAAGAAATAAAATGTCATCAAAAATATAATTAAAACTACATCGACAGCTGACGGACTATCCTCCATCGGTGTCGTATTTCGTATACATAAAAGGTGTATCCAGGTATACTTGGGACATTTTTAGAAATTATTCGCATGCTTGATGTATCCCTGTAAAAAAATTGAGGATAAAATAATAAATTCAGTGGTTTTAAAGAATATGAACGACGTATGCTGTATCATCAATCGAATATTTGACTGAAAAAAAACTGGTGTCAATAAATGAAAGGGCTCAGCGAAATTAATGAAACAAAGTTACCACAACTGTTTAAAACTTCGAACACTCAAGATAAGCTCCAATTATCCTCTTTGCTCTATCAATAAATAATTATTATCGGAAAAAGCAATATTTCAAGCGAATAAAATTTTCACTCCTGAAAATTAGTAAAACTCAAGATTGATCTCTAAATTGTTTTACTGTATATTATTTTTAATATAATTCATAACTTTTGCAACGGGTTTAAGTCGTAATTTGCTTATGGCTCGAGGTTGTATAAACTACTCAAGTGTTCTGCATTTTTGGACTAATTTTTAATTTTTTTGGATAGGTAAATATTGTTTACACCTTAATGCAAAGTATTTTGATGCAAATGAATGCATAAGAGTAAGATATAACTACATCTGATATCATATAATCAAATAAAAATAAATAACCTTATTAACTTAAGTTTAATATATTTCAAATATACAATTTTTTTTTATATATTGACAATCTTTGTATAAATTCAAAAATATTTAAGTATAATTTTTATTTTAATGAAAATAAAATGATAGAAGCTAAGAAGCTTTTATTTTCTCATTTGATAGCTTTGGAAAAAACAAAATATAAATAATAACACTTGGTCCAAAAAAAAAAATGAATGTATAACAAGAATAAATCACTTTTCAATAGTACATATATATCTTATTGTCTGAAACATATCAGGGCAACACTCTGCTAAGAAATACTATATATACTATTATAATCAATATACAGGGCAACACTTTGCTAAGAAATACTATATAAACTATTATAATCAAAAAATTAATGCTATCCGAGGAATGACAAACCGCAATAATTACCATCCAGTATAAACCAAAAAATCATTTTGGTTTGTGTACTTTTTAATGAATAGTTTACCGGAGCGTGTAGGGACTGTGAATGCTATTTCATCAAGTGCCAATATATGACCAAATGCATAGTTCTTACTAAAAAAAACAATAGATCAGTTAACATTCATATGCACCCAAAGCATCAAAGCGTTCATAATTATTTTTTTACTATCAAAAACCTCACCGAAAATAGTCAAGCAGTTTTGTTGCAATTCCAGTATTACGGTAATCCCATTTTGTCCATATACTGTTAACACCTGCTTTCACGGGATAAAATTCTTCAGATACAACAACCATGTCTTCCGATTCAGTCTCTAGATTACGATAAGCCTGGGATATAAGATCTATTACTAGGCATCCAATCACTTGTCTTTTTTTAATATACAAATGAACCTGAAAGGTACAAATAAAAAATATAATGTTACAATTATTAAAATACTTAAATTTTTGACGCAGTCAGCCATAGTGGGTAGATACAATAAATACATACTTTTTTAGTTGTGGGTAAAACAGAATGTTGTATGTCACAACCAAGTTCTTTATTAACATATGACATCACCTCTAAGGCTTTTGAACATAAGGCTTTAGAATCTGATCCAGATATTACAACAATGCGTTCATCAATATCTTTAAAAATAACTTTTTCATTTTTTGAGCTCTTCAGTGCATAAATAAATGTAATATTGTATTAGTCAATAATTATTAACTGTATATAAGGGACAAATTTAATTGAACCAGCACACCTTATACTTAAAAATTTCCTTAGCTTTATGGTATTTGTCATGTTCTGCTTCATCTTCTGGTTCTCCTCTTGAATAATAAAGACCACATTCTTTGCACAAAAATCCACCAAATTTCTTTTGTCCTGCATAAATCTGGTATTGAGTATTATCAATAATTCTTTTTCTTTTTTGCACTGAACTCTTTTTTTCACTAGAACTGATTAATATTAAAATTCAATGTAGGTATTTAAGAATATGTAAATAGATCATTTTTTTTTTATTCATGAGTTAAATCTTTTGACTTCTAAGGTCATTATTACTTATTAGCTAACATAATATTTTGTTGTATAATTAGATTAATATGAATAATCCATAATACAATTTTTTTATGACAATGATATTCAATTTGTATACTATTACCAAATAATGTGATTAGGTGGAGGAGTTTCATTTATGAAAATTGGGAACAAATTAGTTTGTGAATATTCATTGACAATAACTGAAGCATCAATAGCAGTAAATTCATCTATGATTTTTTTATCATTGAAATCGATTGAAGTATTAGTTGGTTCATTTATGATTGTGTCATTAAAACCAATGGATGAATTTGATACTCTAAAAAAAATATATAATATAATTAGTATTTTATTTTTAAACAACTTCTAAAGCTTACTTTTTAAGACAAGCGGCTGGTGAAGAATAAGTAGAGAGACATTTTTCTACATTACAGTTCTCATTAAAACCATATGCATTTTTAATTAAAATCGTTTTTTCAATAGAGCTATGATTTTTGATACCTTTATTCAAACATTTTGGATCTTTATAAACAATTATTGAAATAAGTCAAGACTATAATATATGAAATTCGTTTGAGTTTTTCATTTCAATACCCTCAAATTAAATTTTTAATTTTATAAAAAACATGGATTATTTCATACCTTCATGATTTCTTTTAAATGTAGGAGTCTGTAACGGACTATGTATAGATGGCATATGGTTATTATCCAACAATTCTATTGATTTATTTATATTTTGTTCATTTTCATCAATTTTGTTGTCATTCAATATTTTGGGACTATTTAAATTAAGTTTCTTGACTTCAGCTCTACAACCATTTCTATTTTCATCATTCCAATTTATAACTTTAAAGTTAAAGCCATTATCTTTTCTAAATAAAAACATAATATTATCAAAAATAACAACAATTAGTAGTAAATTAAGAAAACCCTCACTTCTGATTTGGAGTATCATTATGAATCACCTTAGACTTGAAAAATTTTCTGTTACTGTCTTGTTCTAATAAAATACGTTTAGGTTTGTCTTGATCCATGTATTCTGTCCAAACATTTTTTTTTTTCGAAGAAGATTGTTTTGGAGTTTTGTTTTTTTTAGCTACATTCTTTTTAGTTGAATTAGTTTTTTCCTCCTTTTTACATGATTTCACATCCATAGACTTCTTCTTAAACGGCGATATAACATCAGGAAACAAATTTATTTTTGTTTTTAGTTCTCTGCTAGCAGATCTAGGTCTTTTTTTACTCGTTGACTTACTATCTTTAAATGGTTTTGCTTTTACCTTTGGATTATAATGTGATCGGGTAACTCGTTCAACACTAAAATCTTTGTGTGATATCTGTTAATAAACATTAGCACAATAAAAACAATAATTAATAAAATAATATGTATTTATTCAATGGTTTAGGGTGTTGGGTGAAAATTTAAAAATTATTTAACAGTCAATTTGCATCTTACACATTGGTTTACCACTTTATATTTGTATCGATTATTTTAAAGAGTTAAGTATGATGAGGTAATTAAAAATACCTAGCATCAGTATTTTTTGTTTTAATAAATGTACTATGTAAACTATTTATGTCTATTATTTTGTGCACAATAATTGGAGCTCAAGACAGCATGGTGGGTTATCTAGAAGTATAAGAAGAGGTCAGAAATTAGGAGGATTTAAATGGTCGAAAAAAAATTTTTGTGAAATGATTTATGTATGTACCTAGCTATAAATTAAATATTTATTGAATTACCCACGCACAATTTAAATTTCTTACCTTTTTATAATCATAAGAACACAAAGCTTTTACTTCATACTCAGCATTGTTATTTTGAATTTCATTTGAACCAAAGCTTTCCTTTATAACATGTTTAACTCCTTCAACATTTTTTGATTTAAACGTAGTGATGGTATTATGTTCAATTGGTTGATAACTTGAAGATTCCTTTGTGGTAATTGATGATAAAGATAAATGTTCATTCTCTGAATTTGAAATAAGACTTTCAAATTTTTCACTCAGAGTTGGACTTAATTCAATTGGATTCATGGAAAAAGATGTTTCAGGAAAAGCATGTTCAAGATCATACACTTTGGATGGAGAGATATTTTCATCCAAATTGTCTACAGAAAATAATTTACGTTTTCTATTTGATGAAGTTTGGGATTGTTCAGTTTTATGATTTCTATGAGTAAACATTTTCACCTAAAACAAATAACAATACTAAATATATTGAATCAGTAATAATATAACACTACATCAAATAGTATACCTTTACTAGGCACCCTGATTTTTAACCATAATATTTGGAATATATTTTAATATGTTGAAAACAATGGTGAAAGAATTAGGAAAAATATTTTATAAAAGGGTGTCCAGTAAAGTAACAGTATAGGTACTACATAACTTGAATTTTAAAATATTTATGTACCATTAAAATATAAAATGTCAAGAATAATAGAGAATATTGTTCAGTTTGATGATCTACTTCAAACCTGTGGGGTTCTATTTATAATTATTTTGTTTTATAACATTTATAATATTTTTTAATAGCCCATTACTGTATTAAATTGTACATTTTATAAATCTCGATATGGATTATTGAGTTACAAAATAGCATTTTGATTATAATTTCCATAATAATATACCTACTTGGCTAAGCAAGTAATCAGTTATCCCAAAATAACACATTTTTCAATTTTTTTCTTAGAAGTACCTACAAATTGTTTGTCTGGTGTTAGATGACTACTGCTATCTATAACTCTTTTTTTTTTGTTGTTCCCACATCAGGCAAGTCATTAGAGGAACAAACATTTTTTAGGAAATTGAAAAAGTTCATTTATAGGGTATGAAACAAGTAGTCCATTACTAGTTATTGCTACAAATGAAATGATCTTGTTAGTTGTGTCGAACCATTTATTTTTGCGGTTCATAAACCGCAACCTAATCTTATATTGGAACGGCTGACACACGAAAGCAATAAATAAATTACTTGGATACATGGAAAGACGTTCCATAATATACGGTTTATTATAAAAAATTGTCTATCACAAGTATGCGCGCTTCTCAGCGGTCACGGCAGCGGACGATTTACAACTATCGACGCATTATCGGTAATAAATTATTACACATAAAACGTACCTACCTGCCGTCCGAGATCTTTAGTAATTAGTAAGTTGTCGTACACAGTACACACGTGACACATCTATAAATATTGGACAGACATCTCGGCGATTTTTGGGCAAGGTACGTATAAACCAACAATGCATCGCCAACGTGCTCACATAATATATTAAATGTATACGAAAAAACTACTTCAGTTGGAATGAACAGTATCATCTGGTTTAATGATAAATATCAGGGGTGGGCCACTGGTGCCCCGCATCCGGATCTCGGACCTTTTTTATCTGGCCTGAGTTATAAACAAAATAAATGCTAATTCAAATGTATATTATGAATGACCCCCTTTTTTAATGCTTTCTATGCTCTTGATATTAATTTTCTAAAAATCGACCCTCTGGTTACTTATATATTTCGTACAAGAATAAGAAAAATAAATTTTCAAAATTTGCGATTGGCACAATACTTGAAATATCTCTTGAATTAGGTACCTCCTAATAATCTTACTTCAAATATTCAAAAGCATTTTAACATAATATTACAATGCAACGATATGTACACGATGTCTAAACCGAGGTCTAAACATTGTTTTTGGCTTTTTGAAAATTATGAAAAATAATTTAACATTTAATATTTATAAAAGCTATTGTCGTAGGTACTTACGTCCGACGTCAGACTTTCCTTAATCAGTTAATCCTCACGCGGTAACTTCAATGCTCCGCAGTGTGTTACGTAAAACGGTTAAACAGTAAACACTAATCGTCTAAACGCAAGAAATAAATAACCAGAGACGAGAGACCAGAAGAGTACCGGCATGACAAAGTATAGAGGTATGTCAACAACAATGCATGGTTTAGTTTTGTTTGCGCATCCCCACTTTTTCCTATGCGCTAGGTTCTTCGATCTCCAAGCTTTGATTTATTATGCGACCGATTAATGGCGGAGAAAGTAGAATGTATGGGAAATGCGTATCACGATTCACGGCTACTGGTGAGTGGTGACACACCGTCCTGTGTAGTATACACTTTGTGTCAAGGGCGCGCCGAACGCACCCCCTATAAAAACGTGAAATAATTTAAAATTAGAATTTGGTCAATTTGGACAACAACTTACTTGCCACTTGATAAATACAGCCGAATACTGAAAAGTTACGACAATAATAATATTACACAGGAAGTGGCCTGTGCTATTAATAACATTTCAAGGATATTCCAAGTGAATGGATTTACGATCTATTTTTTTCTGTATAGTGACGAATTCGTGAGTCTAGACAATCTAGTCAAAATAAATTACGCCATTGCCGTTATCATCCATCCGTGATGTCCACAGCTATGATAGTATTATAATTATCTCTTTTCTATGATTATAATTTATAATTACTCTACAGCACGGCTTTAGATAGAATTAATTGGATTAATTGGAACTACAGTATTAAAATATTCCCATTACCCGCCATAATATTAAATTATTGAATTTTCAATAATAAATATAAATATAATATAATTGAGTTAATAAGTAACTTAATTATTATAATCACGAATCACTGCTCTCAAGCTCTATCTATATAATATTTATATGACAATGTTATGTTTATGTATTATTTTGTAAACGAAATCTCATGACTGTAGTATGTGTTTTGTGTATATTCAATTACGTTTATTGTCTTTTTGGTCATTATGCCTAATTATTGTGCAATTCGTGAGTCACACAGTGGCGTACACACGGTGGGGGGGGGGGTGTTCAACCACCCCCCTTTAGTATTTTTTCAGTTTACGTAATTACGTAAAAATGTATAACAAAAATGATGACAATTTAAAAAAAAAATTAATAGTACTAATAAAAATAAATACTAAGTTAAATTTTGGGAATTTCAGTGTTACCGTCACAATCGAGTTTCGATTAAAAATGTACGGCGAGAAGACCGTCGTCACCAAAGCTATTATTTAATAATAATTATTATTAGATATGGGCTATTCCAAATTATACTCCATTATATTATAACATTATATTTTAAACTGAAAAATAATTATTTACACAGGACAGATTAAATGGATTGACCATGGTGTCGGTATACCGTGATATAAATTTAACTCCTGAAGAAGTCAGTGATGAGTTGGGACAAAAACCCAGGAAAATAGACATTGTTTTATAATGAAAATAAATATTAGTTAAACAACATATTATTTTGATTTATCAATGTATAATATATATAGGTATATAATTTTTTATATGTAAGCCCCCCCCATTGAAAATATCTGTGTACGCCACTGGAGTCACATTGTGTGTCCAAAACTCTTTTTGGTATTCCTAAAGAGGACGAAATAAAAAAATTATTTCAAGACCACAATTATTGCCAGATACAAGATTCAACCGTTTTTGAGTGTGTTGTTTACTTTCTAGTTTCTAACAGGGTAATTATAATAATTACCTAATTAATTGATTATATTTTGTTGTTAAACATAAAAAGATAATTATTAAGATTCATGAGTATGTTTTAGCTATATCATAAAAAGATTAAAAAGTCAGACAAAATGTTCATTGTGTATAAATTCAATGTACGTTGAATATGGACAAAACATCCACCCAGCTGCTGATCTAGCGAATTTAAAAACAAGAGGGTTTTGAACACATCCCAACCATCAAATTTACACAATAATAAAGTTTTTAGAAATCAGTTTTTCAAAATATGCAGATTCAATTAATGTGTTTGAAGATACTTATGAAGATTTTTTCAAAAATGAAAATCTGCATTTGAAATGGGAATGTGCCGAACATAGAATTGAAATATTTTCTAATATTTTTGTTTTATTCATTACTATGCGGATGAGGCAGCATAGCTATTCTAAAAATATTGAGTGTAAAAAATTAAATCGTACAAAAAAAAAATTGTCAAAATTAGTTACTACTTAAATTAACCTTTTTAAAATCAAGTGTTAATACTTATGGATTAAGAAATAAATTAAACAAAAAAATATATTTATTCTTGAATTTATATTATATTAATCTAATATGTTTTTCTTTTTGGTTGTTAGAGAATTTGGAATATTATAACTATATCAGTAAAATCTAAAAAAAAGTATAATATTACAGTTTATATATATTTAGAATAAAAAATATTAATTTTTACAATAGGCACTACGCATAAGTTATGTGGATTTAAAAAAAATTGAGACGGGGTTATTGTGTATTGTGAAGTGACCATGTATTGATGGATCTTCATAGCAGTTATTTTGTTACACTCTTAATTTTAATAGTTTGATATTTGTAATTAAAAATGTTGACATAGTGGATAGCCTATTCTTTGTATTTTTCATTTCATAATTTGATGAGTTTGAAACTTTAATGGATTATCGGATTATCCATAAAATTTGTAAATTACTAATTAGTACTTTTTGAATACATATACAAATACAATACAACAATATAAAATAAGAATACAATTTTGATGATGTATATGTAAGCCACTAGATAGCGGTGTAACGTAACTTTTAACAGATATCTGATAAGAACAATTGGTGATCACAAAATAATGTCTCGTTGTGCAACCATTCAAGATTTTCAAGGAAGAATTTGGAGTGTATCGATACGTATCGAGGCAATTTTGAGCGTTCAAGAAGTTACACGTGCAGTATACAAGCGATACGTACCGACCCGTATCGGACTCGGATTTCGATACGAGGTGGTACGTATCGATACGTATAGATTTTTTCTTCTTGAAAATCTTGATTCTATCTAAAGCCGTGGTGCAACCATAGTATCTATATCCGTGTTTATTAGGCACAAACCAACCTTTAAATTTTTTACACCATGAACCAAAAAATACATAATTACGGTGGCGTAGAAGGGCCAACTATAATCACGATATAAAAAATTATATCTCGTTCATACAACATAACTTCTTGTAAGCACAAGATAATTTCTCGTTCATACCACAAACTATCTTGTTATAACGATATAATTTACACGTAGACACTAGATAATCTCTTGTTTTCACGACAAAACAATTCACTTTAAATAGGAGGTTATAAAAGTTGTGTCTGTTTTTCTAGTAACCAGAACCGTGGTCGATTTTATTTATACTTTGAAGAACGTTTATATAAGGGGGGTTCACACTAACACCGTGTCGTGTCGTGTGGATAATTTTCTCTGATTGGCTGAACCGCGTGGTTCAATTGCGGTTTACCATATGGTTTATCATTATTTTATCACACGATACCACCGAAACCAAACGATACCGCATAGTTTGAATATATTCAACTTTTGGCCGTGTGGTTACAGATAAAGCGCAGAAAAATGATAACTAAAAAAATAATGATAAAATTCAAAATAACCTATAATTAAAATTTAATAGAAAATTCAATTGAACGTTGAACATTTTTTTCAATTGGTTACTTTTAATTAGCTGGCTACTTGAAATTATTTGCATGTCGTTTGTCAAAGTAAGTACACTAAACTTTTATGAGTATTATATCTACATTTATATTTATTATAATTTCATAAGGTATATTTATAAATATACATTTAATTTTTACGCACTCATTCAGTAAGAACTTAATCATTTGCTTTGATATATTGACACCATAAATCAGAGGGGGTTAAGAAGATGGCTTTGTTAATTGCTTGACACAAATTTACCGAAAATACTTAGGTATCATTAGCAAAAAAACTAAAAACAATTCTTTGGATATTACCTATTAGCACACCTAGTATCTAGTATTAAGTATCAATGCATTTACAAACTAAATAAAATATTGCTAATGAACACTATGCTCACAATTTACGTAATATTGTAGTATAACTAGTTTTTAAGTACAAATTACATGTTATAACTCATTTGCCTTACCACAAGCATAGAGCTAAATTCATAAAAATACTTAACTTTGTAATTTAAATTAATAATAATTGTAACAAGTAAACTTTTAATATTTTAAATTAAAAAATATATATATTATACTATTATAATAGGTACATTTTTTGAATTTTAAACAATAAAATATATCTTCCTGAAGTTCTTTTTTTGCACTGCACAAAGTAACAATTTTCACTGCACATTTACTTTTCTTACTGCACACTAAAAAAACACTGACACTAACAAAACATGTATAATATAAGTAATATATAACAGTGATTATATCCAGTACCTACATCATATTAACTAATGATTTGAATGCTTTATTGCTTTTAGGGTAAATTCTGTCATGGCCGTAATGCTTTTGTAGTAGAATCTGTAAAGAAGCATGTCTGCCCTCAAAGTATATAAACAATAATTTCATAAGTTTATTCATAAATAGCTTTACTGTACATTTTATATTTACAGAATACACCCAGTTAGTACAAACGCCTGGAAACACTGGTACAATTCAAAATATTCTTCCAGGTGCCTCAACTAGTTCTGTTAAAGATATTCTTCCAGATTCAACTCCTATGCCTATGTCTTCTTGGTTTCATTCATTATCAGATCATGATGAGGAGTTACATGATGAAGAATCACCACCAAAAGGTGTTTTCAAATTTATATGCAACTCATTTTATTTATAGATAATTATTGTTTTTTTATTATTTATATAGATATTCGTAATGTGCAATCAACTTCCAATGCTGAACAAAAAATTGTAGGAGTTTCCAAAGAAGACATGGCTGGTTTAATAACATCAATAGAAGTTGCAGACCACTTTGGAATCACAAAATGTCGTTGGGAGAAAGATCCGAAAATATTAAAAATAATTTATTGAATTTGATGGTATATACATTTCTTAAATCATATGCTATTATTAATTATTCATGATACATTTTCTTGATATGTAGGCAAATATTCTATTCAGGGATTAAAAAAGAGCTGGAAATATCTTAAGGAAAGATATACTAGGGAAAAAAAATCTGGAGTGAGTGGTGCAGCAGGAGGTAAACAAGAATGGTGTTATCTTTAGATTTTTAGATGAAGTATTGATAGTTGATAAATGGTAATAATATTTCATTACTTGTGTCTGTTTGCATAGTCAATTTATGTATGACATAAAATGTTAAAATAAATAAATAAAAAATAACACATAGTTTAACATGTCTTATATGAAACATACATTGACTATACAAATGGGCGTTAGAAATGTAAACATGTATTCTTATTGTATTATGCACAAATTGTTAAACAGCACGGTTGACAACCTTAAACCTACACACACCAGCCTTGAAAATGATTCAAATCAAAAACAAGACAGGAAGTCTGTAAAAAGTATGTATTTTTATATTTTTCAGTACTTCATCCCTGAAACTCTGATCAATTAATGAAATATTTTCCAAATATCTATACACTACAATATTTATTTTTAATCACTACCAAATGTATGTTTATTTTCAACAGGGTCTGTTATGGAAAGTCAAATGGGAATGATAATGGAAGAACTAAAGCAGAGTAGACCTATTCCCCCATTGGAGCCTGTATTAATTGAGCCCGAGTCCAATGATGACACCAAGTTCAGTTCATATTTGGCAAGCTTGATGTCAGACTTACCAAAAAAGAAAAAAAGAATTCTTCAAGGACAATTGATAGCTATTGTCATTGAACAAATCGATAACTAATTGTTTGATACTTACATTTTTTATTTTTTATTATTCTTAAGTTCTGTGAAAAGGAAACTTATTTATTTTATTATTTTATTTTATTGTTATGTTAATAAGTAAGCATTGTTTTTTTATTATTCTAATGAAATATAATTATTTGTGATAAATAGTTATTACATCTCACAAAATTAAATTATGTATTGTCATACTGAAATGGAACACTACCCTCTGCGGCAAAGTAATCTGTTAATGTTGACCTAATTTCTTTCGAATTTTGGTCGCAAAAATTTGTCCCCATTTGACCCACAGGAACTAAACCGGCAGAATTTCGGTTTGCAATTTTTTCAGTTTCGCCAAAACATGTAGGGAAGTAATATGTGTATAAACCTATAAAATAAAAATGATTTTCATAATAAAAAGAAATAAAGCGCATATAAAAGGTAACCATGTATACAATTTTGGTATACATTAGACAATCGAAAATATTGTATTACCTGACTCAGTTTCTTTTTTTAAAATTAAATTATGAAGAACCACTGTTGCTTTGATGATACTCATCACAGTAGGCTCAGAAGCAATTATCACCCTTCTATATATACGCCACCTTGATACCAATATGCCAAACTGCCAAAGCAATTTTCTATGCATCTTCTCGGTTCAATCTGAAAATATAAAAAAAAAAATTGTTTAAATTATCCCTATTATTTGTTAATAGACATTTTGTATTCAGTCAACCTCTAGTAATTATTATTTAATTATTACTAAATAAATTACCTATAGTTGAAAATGGTAGATTTCAAAGGTAAATTTTTATTTCCTCGTCCGGGATATAGTCTTATTTCTTATTACATTTGGTAAGAGTGGAAAAGCTTCATCTGCCACAATGAAATAAGGGCAGTCTTTAAAATGTTCACTTATAGGTGAAGCTTCAGGAAAATTAAAAATATTCTGAAGTATCCTTCTACCCATTTCAGAAGCCCTCAAAACTCCACCATAACTACACCTACCTGGCATTCCAATATAAACACATGTAAAATTATAATTGACATCACATAGTGCCAAAAGAATGGTACTATGTGTGCCTTTATAATTGTAGTTGATGGAACCACTATTTGGAAATGCCTGTAAAAATTAAACAATAATGATATTAATTTACCGAACATAGTGCATTTAATTTTAATTAAAAATTAAATTCTAAGTGAAGCAAAAGATCTATTGGCTTTTTTATACTCTAGTTTTCATTTTTTTTTACAAGATATTACAATCTGTTCAAGAGAAAAATAAGGAAATTTAATGAAAGAATATAAAACACGATTAGTATAATGGAAGAAGCCACCCAGTGTTGTCACTATCTATTTTGAGTGTTAGGAACTTAGGAGGGTTTATATGCTCAAGCATCTAGCAGGTTGCGGCACCAGTTTATCCTATAACCGGATTAGAATTGATGGATATTATTGCCTTGTCATCAGCATATTCAGAAACTAAAGTGTTTGGAGTGGTAAGGCTGATCAGCAGCATAAATGTTTTTAAAGAACTGGAAAGAGTATACCCCTCTAATTTTCTTAAAATAAAAATATGCATACTTGATGTACAACGTGTTCTCCATCTAACGCTCCTACACAATTGGGCATTTGCCATTTATCAAAAAATTCAAAGGACAATATTTTCCATCCTTCTTCAGTGGGTGTAAATAATACCTAAAATATAAATAGTTTAGAACACAATTTATTTAGGTACTTGCCTATGTTTATTAATTACTATAATCAAAGCTTACATCTTTGTATAATACATCCCACAAACAATTGCAGCATTCTAAAATTATTTTTGAAACAGTGGATTTTCCAGTTCGAAAATTAAACATTATGTCAGTCATGCTTTCCCCAGCAGCTAAATAAATATTTATTGAATTATTTAATATCAGATTTTTACATAAATATTGTACAAAAACTAACATTAACGTAGCAGCTAAAATTTAGACAACTCAGGTCATGAATGAATTCTTTGTAGATATGGGCCCATTAAAATAACTAGTTCTTCAAATGTAGTTGGTGACATTCTGGTAAAATTAAAAAATAGGTCTGAATTTGATAGCCGATGCTCATTAATCATAGTGTTAAAATGACTATGATCAATACGTTCTCGTAGCAAAGGCCTGACATACTGCAGTCTACATTATCAGTATTCCTAAACTCATAGCTTTATTTACAATATTTAGATCATGATACAATGACTTTTTATAAGGCACTAACTGGTTTTCAAAATTTAAAAAATTGAACTAAAGTTAAATTATAGAAGTAAAAATGGGAAGGGGGGCATGGGCGCCAGCAGGCAAATGAATTTTAAGAATCAAAATAAAAAAAATGTATGAAAAAATGTACTTTAAAAACAAATATGAAAGACTGCAATCTACAATATCAGTATACCTAAACAAATAGCTTAATTTACAGTTGTTAGATAATGAAACAATGAATTTTCATAGGGCAGTATGTGGTTATCAAAATTTAAAAAATTGACCAGAGTTAAATTATAGAAATAAAAATGGGAAGGGGGGCATGGGCGCCCGCAGGCAAATATATTTTCAGCACAAAATAAAAAAAATGTATAAAATAATGTACATTAAAAACAAATATTTAAGACTGCAGTCTACAATATCAGTATTCCTAAACTCATAGCTTTATTTACAATAGTTTAATCATGAAACAATGAATATTTATAGGGCAGTATATGGTTATCAAAATTTAAAAAATTGAACTAGGTTTAAATTATAGAAAAAAAAATATGAAGGGAGGCATGTGCGCCCGCAGGCAAATGAATTTCAAGAATCAAAATAAAAACAAATGATAAAATAACTTGATAGAATTCAAATTTAAAAATAAAATTTTGAAGGGGGGCATGGGCGCCCGTAGGCAAATACTTTTTAAGAATCAAAATAAAAACAAATGATAAAATAACTTGATAGAATTCAAATTTAAAAATAAAAATGAGAAGGGGGGAACGGGCGCCCACGGGCAAATCAATTGTAAGAATCAAAATAATAAAAATTTATGAAATAATGTACATTAAAAACAAATATTAAAGACTGCAGTCTACAATATCCAAATTAATAAACACATGGTTTTAATTACAATAGTTAGATAATGAAATAATGAATATTTATAGCGCAGTATTTGGTTTTCAAAATTTAAAAAATTGAACTAGAGTTAAATTATAGAAATAATTATGGGAAGGGGAGCATGGGCGCCCGCAAGCAAATGAATTTTAAGAATTAAAATAATAGAAATGTATGAAATATTTTACATTAAAAATAAATATTAAAGATTGCTGTCTACAATATCATTACAAAATGTGAAAAAATATGATCAGAGTTCTTTCGACTTTATCTTGGTACAATAAAATAATGTGTAAAGTGCATTTTGTGATTCGCAAATAATTAATTAGTATTGACTGCATTTATTTATTATTAATCATAAGTACTGGTACAACGCTAGCCGCAAGCTTTAAAACTGTGGATACAAATTATGATACTTAATTAGGTTCTAATTTATTTTGGTAATATTTAAATATTTTCTTTTATTGTTATGCATATACAATATCGAATACCTTGGTAGTTAGTAGGAAAAGATCATTGCAATGCACTCGACCAGTGATGATAGTATACTACCACTAGCCTACTATCATCACCACAGCTTCAACTCTCCATAGCGCTTAGGCGTACTAACCTTTGTACGACTTATTTTAACCCTCTGTCTTAACAGCATAGTCGCGCGAGTTGGGCAGTATGGGGGGTGCTAGTTTAATCACCCCCGTTTGGCGCGCGACTAACAGAGGGTTAAGTGGGACCCTTAGAATAAAAAGATCCTTATTTGGTTTTCTATTTTTGTGTCCGCTTATCAAGTTGAACATTTATTATTTAATTATTACAACTTGAAACAACTTGAAGCATACAACATATGCGAAAGGCGATAAAGACTTTTATATGTTCATCAACTTGAAAGTATGATTGGATGTACATTTTAGAAGTAACTAGTTAGTTTTAATATTTTATAAGAATGTGTTGGCCCCGTGTAACAAGTGCTCATCAATGTGAGCAGATCTCATTTAGCAATGAATGTTTTTCTATTAGAGTGATTTTTATTATTTGGAATCAACGAAGATGAATGATAACTTCTTAACTAAAATTTGATATGTTTCATACTAGTAAGACGCATTTGAACAATTTATTGGAGACCACACATTCAGGTGAAACGTCATTCTTAAAGCAACGTCTTTTTATTAATTATTTAAGCTTCATTTGTTTTGTAAAAATTCTAGGAAGATGTCTAGATTTGAAGCAACTGAATAACGTAGTGAAATAATTTTATTTTGAATTTCTTTGAGCATCATCCGGCTGATAAACTTTCTACCCTTTCATTGCCAATAGCCGACTAATATAATCGAAATTTAATCTAATAAATCTATTAATATAAACAATTTTGATTTTTTTTTTGTCTAAAGCATCGGAAACTATAACATTAAGCATTTTTTTGTAGGGGTCTTGGTTGTGTTTGAGTAACAAGTATATATGTGGAGCTAGGATTCGTCACTAAACACCCAGGTGGTCACCCATCCGGATACTAGCTACGCCGGCCGATGATTGACACCAATTAGGGACTTCAGCCAATCACCGTGCCACACCAAGCCCCAACTGTATTCTTATTATTTTATATTAATTGTATATTACATATTATTCTGTGTGCCAATTTGATTGTTAACAAACCGTGCACTTTATGGGTAACAGCATCTTTTGTAGGGGTCACGGTTGGATTCGAGTAACACGTGTGCATGTGGAGCTAGAATTCGTCACTATAAACACCCAGGTGGTCACCCATCCGGATGCTAGCTACGCCGGCCGATGATTGACACCCATTAGGGACTTCAGCCAATCACCGTGCCACACCAAGCCCCAACTGTATTCTTATTATTTTGTATTAGTTATTAATACATTTTATTATTTAAATTCCAATCCAACAACGAAAAGTAAATTTGCCAATACTTGACATACATTTAAATTACAAAGAGTCATACTTGACTAGAAAATTCGTCACCTCCCCACATAGTACTTTACTCCAATATTAAAGATTTTGATTAGTTAAATACGTAAATATTACAATTAGTTGCTTCCAATCTTGTAACACCATTTTTATAGGGCCTAATAACAGGTTTTCTCTCATCTTAACAAATTACGATATTACTATAGTTATTTCAATTCATTTCTTAGAATAATGCATAAATATAATGTTATCATTCGTCTAAGTTAAACCATGTGCTGTGATTCATTTATTATTAGGTATCTAAAATCTTTTAATTTTTATTAAACATGTTACACGTTATCAAACATATTTTGATATTATTTGTTATATACCATTATTTGTTATCTTTGACAATCGTTTTTTTTTTAATAAAATATCATTTCAATATCCTATTTTTGTCTAATTTCTATTGAAAAGACAAATTTACAAAAATTATTACAAGGGTAAAAATTGCCTAATTATTATGAATGAAGTGTAACTAGGGTCACAAAATGAAAACAATTTGCTGTTAAATAGTTATTTTATATGGCGTGATAAATTTTATGTAAGACAATATCATTATTTCATTATTTTTTTTTTATGTTCTAAAGAAAAATATTTTTTGGAGTACTTATGGAGATTATAGTAATCAAATGTCGGTCAAGTAGGCAGGTTTTTTGGCAATAAGTTGCGTCAATCGCATCGGCGATAAGACCACTAACATGAAGTTAAAAGTAATAATTAAAAATGATTTCTGTGTCGACGATTCCCTCGCCGGGGCAGATTCATTGATGGAAGCAATTGAATTGCGTGACGAATTAATTTCAATTATGCGAGGTGGGGGATTAGAATTATCAAAATGGACTACGAACTATACAGATTTATCTCCGAATCAAAACAAAAATGAATCGTTAGACCGAACCAATGGATAGAGAAAGTGTGGAAACTTTAGGTTTATACTGGGAACCGAAAAGTGATTACTATACGTACAAGTACAAGTACTTACCGTAAGTAAAAACGGAAACAACACAGACATATTCTTGCCGGCCTAGCAATGTTTGAATTTTTTTTAAAAAATGTTTAAATTTAAATTTAAAAAAATTATGGTAAATTGAGTATATCTTAAACCTATACAATTTATTAAAAAAAAGGGGAATCAACATAAACAAAATATATCCGCCGAAATTGATAGCCGACGGAATCAATAAATAAAAAAGCTCCGCGGTGGAATAAATAAATAAAAAAAGCTTGGCGGATTCGATAGCCGGTGGAATCAATATAATAAACAAATATCGGGCGGAATCGGTAGCCGGCGGAATTGATATTACAATGGCGGAGTCGATAAAACCCCATTATTTGACCTATTCGGCTTAGTAGGTCCGCGGTAATATTGGTGGGTAAAATATTGTTACAAAGTTTTTGGCGTGAGAAAATCGTTTAGAACAGCCCAGTTCCATCACACATACAAGTACAGTGGGTGACACGCAATTGTCTAAACGAGCTCAATTCATTTAGTATACCTCGTTAGCTGGGCTCCGACAAGAAGAAATTAATAGAGTACACGGATTCACTGATGCATCCACGAAAGCATACGGTGCGTGTATATATGTTACGGGCAATGTGGAATACCGGGCAATGTAAACCACAAATTTTTTTTTAACCAAATAATATTATTTTTTATTATTATTACATATTTATGGCATTGATTTTTTTTAAAAAAAATAAAATATTAATATATTAAAATTTAAAAAAATATTTAAAAATGTTTTTTTATTTTTATTTTTAAATCATTATTAATTTTATTCATTTATCATAAAACAATAAACTATGAATTTTTTG